AGTTTCATTTAGTAGACACTAGTACTCTGCAGTAGTAAGCTCTACCGATATGTGTTCTTTTTCTCTTCTTTTATCTCTGAGGCTTTGCTTCATTTAAAGAATTTGGAATGGGAGATTCAGATTACCTGTCTAGTTTTACTGCTGGGAACAAGTCATGTTCATCATTTGACTTTCTAGTTTTCTCACATTTAAATCTATAATCAATTGTCTAGATGTTCTCAAGCTGACATGTTTCTAAACTAATGCATAAGTTGAATGTATTTGCCTCTTTCCTTATCTGAATAATACAAAGAAACTAATGCATAAGTTGAATGTGTTTGCCTCTTTCCTTATCTGAATAATACAAGGAACTACTCAGACGGGTAGGATTTATTAAAAAATTTGTTACTTAAACTACCTTGACTCATTTATTCCTTTTCAATTCTCTTCCCTTTCTTTGATAATGCTGTATGGATGATACTATACATTTTAGGTATGGGAATGTGTGTCTTTTTTCCTTTCATGTGTACAGGATGGATGACTTGTGTGGATTTCAGGTTTCTACTTGTGCAAAATGCTCTGGTGAAGGCAAGGTGATTACTGACCACTGCCGAAAATGTGGTGGAAATGGTAAAATAAGGTCAAAGCGAAGCATGAAAGTGGTCTTCCCAGCTGGTGTCAATGATGGAGCTACAATGCGAATTCAGGGTGAGGGTAGTTTCAACAAGAAAAGGTATGATTGAATAAAGATATTGTCCATCAAATATTTTTACTAGTATCATCTGTACATGTGGATAGTTGAAGCTTGTTTTTGTCCCTTTTGGTGCGCTTAAATTGCTCTTAAGAGGCTGGATTACATCTCATTTGGTGCTCTTTCAGCTGCTCTGAAGAAATTGATCAATCAATGTTAAGAATCAGGAAATGCTAAACAAGTGTGGTGTAAAATTAATGTGTGTTCCCAAAAACTTCACTGTTCACCGTTGACAACTAAACTAGTTTATGTTTGGGATTACAGTGCAAGGGACCATTCTGCTATCTTGATATCAAAAGCCTCAAAGTTAAATATTTGAAACTTTACTGTGAGAGGTTTGAGTTTACTGTTGGGATTTGGGACTGCTTGTGTTCCCTCAAAACAGAAATCCCAGAAATACATTCGTAAAATTCACCACCTGTTGCATGGTGATTCCAATATAATAAGTACTTAACTGTTATCTCTACATGGAGTTGGCTGACTGCAACATAAACCTAATTTTCTGTAAGGTATTAGTGGAATACAAAGGCAATTTATACTGCGTAGAGTATAATGCCTGCACCAAGGAAGCTTTTTGATGTCGGTATACTGAGGCCCTTGGCTTATCAAAAGCAAAAAGAAAATGGGTGAGTTATTAAGTCATGCCTCAAAATGTGAATCCATACATATCACCTCAGCATTTGTAGGTTCATACCTGAATTTCTCCAATATCCATCTCTCTTTGAGCATATCTTCCTTTCCATCCACTATAGGCTGATATTACATTCTACTTTCTGGTGTTCTCCTGGCTATTTTAAACTGGTAGGTCATCTGTCAAACATTAATATTTGCATATTCAGGTCTTGTTAATACTTTCTGCACGACAAACTTCCTGGTTGTGTCTACAAGTTTGCAGCCACCCTTGTTGGTTTAAATATATTATCTCTTTACATTTTGTTCTTGTCCATATCCCTAATCCCTATAAATCCAAGCGCAACCCTTTCCATTGCAATGTAGAATCACAAAATATTTGTAATAGCTATATTTAGATTGATTTGGATGGTTTGGATATATAATGATTGCACTAATTGATGTGTAATGGACAAGGTTAACACTAGGGCATGCACCATATAGGTTATCATTTACATATAATGTATTTGTGAGGTTGCTGAGTTCTTTATGCCAAAAATGAGAATGGTTCTTTTGTAATATTTGGCATTGTTAAACTTTTGTTTCTATTGATATTTCTCTTCATTTATACTGTGTTAGTTATGGAATGTTTCTTCATTTCATATTATGATTAGATATTACTAGATAGCAATGCAAAACAAAGTCTTACAAGGAAAAAAAAAAAGAAAAAATCTAAAACTGGAAGCATCACTTCATTTGCTATTGATAGGGGCATTGCTGGTGATCTGTTTATAAGCCTCCATGTCAATGAAAAACAAGGGATTTGGAGAAATGGTCTCAATCTTTACTCAAAGATCAATGTTGATTATACTCAAGCAATTCTGGGGACCATCTTAAAGGTAATTATAGTTTCTTGTCTTATATTAGATATTTTAAAAAAAAATCTGCTATCTTTTACTCTTTTGTTGGAAGCATTGCTTCTCATTTATTTTTCAGGTGCTAAACTATAGCTTCACAGTTAATAATTTCATGACTTAATGCTTCTGGATGCGGAACAAAATCAATGTGTCAGAAATTAGCATGCACACTATACTAATTTATCACAAGTTCCTTAAACTCTGACAATGGTTATTAATTCACTTGGTTCTTTCACTGCCCTTGCTCCAATCTTTTGTTTCTGGTTGAACATCAATGTTCCTAGTTCCATTTTCTTCAATGCCAGAATCTTATGGAGAAATTATGCCACTTTGAGTCAAGGCTGTTTCATCATTTATAATTTCAGATTCAATTGGGCCTAGTTTAGATTAGAGTATGGTTACTTTGGCTTCTTCATGTATTTTTATGAGGAATCGTCTTGTGGAAAGTTTTGGAAAGGAAAATGGTTTTTTGAGGGCACCCATTGTAAAATTTTGAGTTTTGTGATGGCTTCTCCGTCAAGCTTTTGGCATAAAATGTAGGGTTGGCTTCTTCATGTTCACCTTGAGCAGTCAAATTTTCTTCTTGAGGGTTATTTTCAATCACTTCACCTCTCTGCAGTTTTTAATCTAAGTATGACTCTTAGAGCTTAACTCATGACATCATCTAATCCTCAATTCCTACATACCTGCTATAGAGGCCGGCAATTTTGATGCCAACGTCTATGTTATAGTGATTTTTGGTACTTTAGATATTAGAAATTTCCTTTGGACCTCAAGAAGAAGCCTGGCATTTAAACTACCAATGTTATAACCATATAAATAACCGTTGTTATTATTTATGGAACACACTATCCATTGTCATCTCTGCTTATGTTTTTGTATGACTGTTTTATGCCCATTTGAAACAATGGCTAAATAATAATCCACAAACAAAGATTCTCTTCCTGATATTGAATTGTCAGTCTGCCACAATCGCAGTTGGAACTTACATGATGCAATTTTATTGTATGAAATAATTGTACGATATAGCAATCTTGAACATATCCTGTTCATTCTCTTAAAGCAATCTGATTACTTAATCAAAATTGAATTGCTGGACATAGTTCTATGCCATAAAAGTAACTCTAAATAGATCATTTGACTTGGTATGTGTTAACCAAACAACACGGATTTTTGTTATCATGCAAAATGTGTTTCTTCTTCATGGTTCAGTTGTTGAATACATCTTAGGGGCCTTAGTATGGCCTGTGTTTTTCTTTACTTTACCCCTTTTTCTGCCTTTATTCATCGTTCAAATTAGGGATGGGGTTGAAATGTGTGACTTTTTGTAGAATTTTTCTGGAAACATAGAAATGGCTTTTGGATGCCTTGAAGTAAGTTGTTTGACATATGAATCTAAAATAACTTCAGGTTGAGACTGTCGAGGGTTTGAAAGATCTTCAAATTCCTTCCGGGATTCAGCCTGGAGATGCTGTAAAATTGTCACGGTTGGGAGTTCCAGACATCAATAAACCTTCTGTTCGAGGTGATCATCACTTTATTGTGAATATTCTGATCCCCAAAGATATCAGGTCTTAATCTCTTTCTACTTTACACTCAAGAGTTTCTTATTCGACATGGGCATTTGTAATGTTTGTACACGTTATCTAATTTAGTAGGTACTAGGTTGGTGCCTTTGCTATGCTGCGGGTTCGCATTATTTTTCCAGTAAAATATTTAGGTGTTGCTAGCTTATCTTTATCTTTTAAAAAAGAAATCTAATAACTCGGGTTATAGTCCCAACTAAATAAATAAGTTGGCCTTATTTGAATCATATGGATGAAAAAAGCAATGATAGTAAACGGGAATGAATACATACATACATACATACATATACATACATAACCAATCAATGAGGATCAAAATAAATAAAAAAATAATACACTATCAACTTAGATTAAAGTGTAAAATTAAAAATAATAAAACTTACATAAAAGAGTCAAGAAAAAAGGTAATAAATCATAAGAATAAGGATTAAATTGAAAATACAAACACATGATAAAAAAAACTAGAACGTGTAGAATTTTTCAACATGTTTTTTTACATAAAAAATCGTAAATGTAAATCGAAAAACTTATGCACGCATTCAATTAATAAATCACGAACTATTGTGTAAATAAATGAAAAAAGAGAGAGTAACGATAAATATAACATAATTGGAAAAATCAAGAAACCAATGTAGATCAAGATGTTTAATATCATAACATGAGTCATTTATCTAGTTGTGTTTAATGAATTTGTTTATGAAAATCAATTTGTAATAGAGATGAACACACACATGAAATTTGTTGAATAAAATAAAAGAAAAAAATTATGCAAGGTTGCACATATTAGAAATATTATATATTAAAAATAGTTAATCTATATAAAACATACAAAAAAAACTATGGATAAATCATACCAGCTTATGCAAAAATTAAACACACCCAATATAATTAAAAAATAATTGTTTTTCAACAAAGGCTAAAAAACTCAAAAAAAAATCATAGAGAAGGGATAGTAATTAAAATATAAATTTTAAAATTATTTTAAAAAACTAATGTAAAAAAAGCCATTAATATAAAAAAATAAAATCTTTGAAAAAAAAAAGAAGCAATGAGGCCAGGCATTGCTAGGCTCGGTAAGCTAGGCCTAGCGCCTGGCCCAATCAAGGACAAGCCTGTGCATGGGCCTTTATTTTTTTTGAAGTTTAATTGGGCGGACGATGCTTAAAGAGGTTCTGTTTTTTACCCAAAAACCCATTTTGAACCTGTTTTTGACCCAAAACACCTCGGAAACATCCCATGAACCTTGTTAAACCAATCTATGGCGTTTAAAAACACAAAAACCACCCGAAAACCCGAAACAAAAAATCTTTCTAAGCTTAGATCTGTGTTTTAGGTGTTTTCAAGGTAAAAATAACACTTAATTGGAACCCCCCTCATTATAAGGAATCTTTTGATACAAAAATAGACTGGTGGCTGAAATCTTTCCTAACTACAATTCTCTTTCCCCAAGCCATAATCCAGCGACCCCCTCTCTCCTCCACCCAAATAAGGACTAAAAAATGAGAAAAATAAAGTTTGATATCAAAATGTATTTTTTTTTTTAAATTATAGGGATCAATCACCTAATAGCTAAAAAATATAGGGGACTGAAATGAACTTTTGAAACAAATTTCAAAGTCACCACCTATGTTATCTGCATTTTTCACTTCGTTCCTCTTTCTTTCAATTCAATCCGCCCTCCCAAAAAATCATTTAATTGGATGCTGATTTGGGCTCAATTGTGGAAAGAAAAAGTTTGAGGACTAAAATGAATTTTTTTAAAAAAAATGCTATTACAATCCACAATGAATTGTGAGAGCATGAACAATGAAAATGGCTACAGTAAATTCCCTATATGTTTTAGTTTTTGTTAATTGACAAATTACAGTTTAAATAATAGGAATTCTCGGTAGTTGAATAATGAATACTGTCCTGATCATTATGACTATGACTTGTTGGTATTCACCAGGCCACATGAAAGCCCGAGACTCAAAGCCTTTTTGTTTATAATGATCAAGAGGCTACCACTATATCCATTACTTTGTTGGAGGAATTGAAATTACCTCTGATGTGTACATTGTTTATTATGGAGGATTTATTAGTGAGCTATTCTTTGATGTTGTGTGAATTGTTTTCGTTTTGAATTCTATGCTATCACTTTAAATTAAAAGATAATGTTGATGTATTGCTGCCTTGAAGATGAAATTTCAGCTGCTGTTCAGAATCATTTTTCAACAAACCGGATGTAATTGGTTCAAACTGAAAGCTGTATTTTATATGATGAACTTATGGTTAACCATCTTCTCAAGCCGAACAAAATCAAACAATGGAGGGAATGTCTGCTCTATATTTCCTTAATAAATATTGTTGATTCTGACATGAGCTATCTAATTTTCAGTTATGAAACAGTTGGATTGAAGATTATAATTTGATTCAATAATATGCAAATTATGTCAGGCATTCTCTTTCTAATTGTACAGAAAGATTTAGCTGTCAATGAAGGACACCCATGATTGTTTTTGTTCTTTTTGTTAAAGCATTTAATATTTTGAAGTTTCTTTCAAAAGGGTGTCCTATAAATAGATTAGATTCTGAATGAATATACTGTTGGGAGAATTGATTGTGGATATTATAGAACCTATAGGAGTACCATCATATGCAATGCCTGCTTGAATTGGTTGTTTGATTGTGTTGGGAGTTTATGCCATGGTTTCTTTGTTTTCATCTCTTTTGTGTGGTTGCACACTTTTTGTATGAGCTCAATTTGAAGATAATTGCAGTGACAAGGAGCGAGCGCTTGTCGAGGAACTGGCTTCACTCAAGTCTGGCAGCAAGGAACATGCAGTTTCTTCTAACAGCTCTGGTATTTTCTTCTTTTCTTTTCTTTTTGTCAGTTATAGTATTTATTTAAAACCATTTAAGTAGATACTCCAAGGATCTTCATAGTAGTATAATTTCATGCTGAACATGTCAGAACAGTCATCTTATATGTGCGGTTGTCAACTTTTAAGAAAAAATTATAGTTTTGGATAAATGAGGAATGCAGGAGATAAGCCTAGTACAGGGAGGATATTATAGGGTAGATTCTTTACTTTTCTTTGATAAAATAGAAATTTTGGGGATGCAAAAATTTTGGTAGATGGAAAAAGAAAATGTAGACTCCAAATAAGAATTCTTATGGAAAATTCATGTCCAGTTGAGTTGATATGTTTTGGCACAACCTGAAACATACGTTCATGTGGCTGTGCTCTAAATATGAGCATTGTCAAGACCTGGTGTCTACTTAAAATCATAGCACGTCTTAGAAATCACATCCTCAACGACTCCTCAGCCCAATTCTTAAACTTTTTCAGTTTTACCCCTCTAGTCAACATCTCTAACACTTTTTTTTCCAATAAAATTAAGTATTTGTTGCAACCAAAAAAAAGCCAAAAATATGGGTGGTTACTCAAGAAATTGTACGTACATAAGATTTTGCATTTACATATACCATCAAAATATATGTAGTCTTGTCCTTGATTCTTGATTTTTTAGATTGAACAAATTTAACACTACATATCTGTTAACACTAATGTCATGTCCATAAATCATAGTTTGGTACTTTTCTAATAGACAATATTATGTTGTGTTCAATCATCAGGCTTTGTTTGACTGCCACAAAAGCCATCGTTCTCATTTTCTGTTTTCTTTTTAAGTTCTAACCATGATGATTCATTGTTGCTGAAATCATAATCTCACAAGCAGGTTGGATTACTTTTATTATCTGAGCATAATTTGTTAATGTGATTAACACTTTTTTGAAGTGGCTCATATTTTGTGTTTGAAGACAAAACAAATCAAATATAAATTTGTTTATATAAAGAGTATATTTGCGCACACTTACGTATCTTTAGTGAATTGTATCCTAGTCATATCCTGATTCATGCTTTGTAGTATGTCAATTTGCTTTGAAGGTGGGAATGTGGTAGAGATTATTCAGATTTGGTACCTTTTCTTACATCTCATATCTGCACATTCAGGCACATTTGAAAGAAACAAGGATCACATTAGAGATCCCAAAGGCAATGCTTCAGGTCATAGGCTCAAATGCACTGCCTCTCTGTGGAACTCAATTAAAGGCTTCTTGGGGTATATTTTACTGACTTCACATTCCTTTCCTAGCCTGCCTTCATAAAGTTGTGTGTGATTAGGAGTGATATCACTTACAATGATTTTTTAATCATAAAGCAGAATCAAAATGCCAACATAGATAAATAATAAAGTTCTAAGATACAAATGAAGAATATATAATACTTCCCTGAATCTCTGTGATCAAAACTCTTGAAAAAGAAAGGGGGCATGGGCTGGAGCATTGCAAGCAACCTAAGCTTGCAGGTGTTAGTCTTGAGATCAGCCAGTTTTTGTAAAAAGTTTGAAGGATAAAGAGGCCAAGATTTTCTTCCTCGAACTCCTCCTGGGGCCATAGTTGCATAATAGACTTTCTGTGCATGTCCTCTCTTATTCCTATGTTATTGATTTCAGGTTGCCTTTTTTTTTTTTTTCCCATTCAATTCTCTGTCCTCTATGAAGTCCTTGCTCACCTACCCCTACATTCTATGAATTTTACTTGCACATGTTTCGCTCCAGATCAGGTAGCACTAGAAAATTTAGAAAAGGAAAGGGTGGGCATGGACTGGAGCCTTGTAGCATCACATAGGGTGCCATGAATGTTGGTTAAACACGTCTGCCTCTAATTTTGTTCACCTTGTAGATCTAGTTGTTTGGTTTTATTTACATGGCATACATGGAGAATCCATGCCTCCAAATGTGCAATGAAGGGATCTGGACTAGATTGATGTATGAGGAGGATCATGGTTGAAACAATTCTCAAAAAAAAGAAAGAAAAAAAAGATTACGGGTGGAAATGCTTAAATTCTCAAAAAAAAAAAAAGAGAAAAAAAAGATTACGGGTGGAAATGCTTGTTGCATTCTAATGAATTGGTGTTGATGTCTTTTTATTTGTGTTTTGCTTGGTTAATTGCAAGGCATCGATATCTTCAATTTCTGGTAACAAAATAAAGTGCATTATGTTAATCAGTGAGTGCTTTCAACCATACCTTTTATGAGTAGTAGTGCAAGTAATAAATGAATCACGGGGCTCGTGTACTTGTACAGATCAGTGGAACATTTGTGGTGCTTGTTTTTCAAAATCTTTAAACTTGTAGGAAACAATTGTTTGTGTTGTAAGCATGTAGTTTTTTGCCCTCTTACGTACTGGCCTGTTAAACTATGAATTTGCAGGCAAAAGCAATCACGGGAAAGGTTTGCCTCTATCACCATGACCAACACATCACTGTTGTGGAGATCTGGCAAACCGGATTTTGCCATCATGTTGTCTGTAATTACAGTTTCAGTTCTAACTTGTGTTTTAACCTCCATGCGAAAGATACAAAGGAACAATTCCTCGCATATACAGAACATTAGGAAGAAATGATTTTCAGCTGAGGTCAATGTTTTGAGAAACGAGAGATGAGGTGTAGTCTTTGCCCATATACCTGTAATAGATGTAATGGGATTTGATGGTGTAGTCTTTGCCCATACCTGTAATAGATGTAATGGGATTTGATGCATTTTATTTATTTCCTGGCATCTTTCCCTTAGATTTATCCTGTCAAGGGCTGGCATGAAGATTAGATTGTTCTTAGCATGTAGATGCCGCGTTCAGTATGTATTTTTTGATTGGTTTTACTGGTAACTTCACTGTCTGCCGATTTATCTGAGCCCATCATTCTTGTTGTCAAAACTTTAGTGTAATAGTGATTCTCGTCATTTTACTTTGAATAAACTGAAATGTTCGTTTCAGAATCAATGCTACCGAGTCAGAACCAGGGATCCCTGTCTCTTATGTTTTACTTGTAGCCATCTGTGCCAACGCAAGAGCAGGGCAAGGTCACCATTGCTGATGTCTATGATTGTCTAAAACAATGTTTGAAAAGATATCAAACTGGCTGTGGCTAGGAGCATCAGAGCATAAAAAATGAATTTCTAGGGCTTGCATATACAGCAGACCATCTTCAGGTAACCATATCTTTTTGCCTCCTTTTCACTTTCAGTTTATTTGGCCTTGTGAACAATTGTAGACCGAAGCATTTGAGCCCGCTAATGGACTGACATTGACACCATTACTTCAGTATTAAGTTATTGCAACGTTGAACTTTCAACTGAACTTCCAGCTGTGACATTAAAACGCGTTAAGCAATCCGATTCAACTCCTTATAATCCTCTCCGTGGTTCCTTCCCACCTCAAGATTCATTATCCAATCTTTCCTCGAAAATCCCCGCGCCACCTCTCATCGATTTTCCTTCTCACCAAACAGTAACCAATGGCACTGGAATGGGTAGCGGTTGCCTATGCTGCTGGAGCAGAAGCCGTGATGCTCCTTCTCTTAACCCTCCCAGGTTTAAACCCCTTACGCAATGGCCTCTTGTCTGTAACTAAAACCCTCCTGAAACCCTTCTTCTCAATATTGCCAATTTGCCTCTTCTTGGTCATGGACATCTACTGGAAATATGAAACGATGCCCTCCTGTAAGACCCTCAATTCCTGCTCTCCATCGGAGAATATGCGCCACCAAAAGTCCACTATCAAGAGCCAACGCAACGCGCTTTTGATTGCTGCGGCGTTGGTTTTTTACTGGCTCTTGTATTCTGTAACGAAGCTTATTGATCGAGTTGGGCAGTTGCAGTTTCAGATCAAAAAGTCTACCAAAAATGGTTGACACTTTGCCCGAGCACCATCCTTGGAGATTACCTCAAATTTGTGCCTCGAAACAGCATAGCCTTTGACTTTTTGAGAGGATATATCTCTTTGTAAACGTGAATGATGTTTTTAGGCATCTGGGCTAGTTTGGTTCTTGGCCTGTGTCTTGGCAAATCATGTCACATCAAAAGAGTCCTTTTTTCGAATGTATTTAAGCTGGATTTTGCAATTATATCGCCTTGTTTACTTGAATGGAGACGGGAAAGGAAGGATTTTTATATCTACAGAGGTGGTGGCAATGACTCATGCATGTAAAAAAAAAATTCAAAAAATTTGGATAACGAGTAATTCAACAGATTATGTATTGTGTCTTTTATTTCCAGGAGGCATTTGGAAACTTTCAAGTATTTTTGGAAGAGAGGAGAGGCTTGCTGGAAGGGGGAGTTTGCCTCAAACACATAAATCCCCCTACTAACTTACATAAATGTGTAATTTCTTATGGAAAAAAATAAGGTTGCATATTTGTATCAGTTTGAAATTGAATCCTTAAATTTTTAATTAATTTGAATTAATAAAATTAATTTTTATTTAATCGAATTAAGTATTAATATAACATCAAATTTTATTTTTAACATTCTCATATAAAATACCAAGCGTGAAATTTTACAAAACTAAACTATTAAATGATAAACAAAAAGAATTAATGACTTGAGATAGTTGAATATTCATAGGAATAGAGTTTTCATCACAAATCTTTCTTTTTTTTTTGTTAATAATTAAAACAGCCGTCTTATTGCATTACAATGTGAGATATTTAATTGGTTGAATTGTCTCAATGGAAAAAATTGGCTTCCAAGATCATTTACTATATTGAAAGACTTTTTTTTTAATACCCAGAAAAAGCTATACAACTCTCTAATCCTCCACTAGCATATTAGTTTTTAAGATAGTTTGTGTGATTGTGGTTTTAAAAAAATAAATTTTAAAAAAAATTCGGTTAGTTATAATTAGATTTAGATATGTATTTTGTAAAAAATATAATTAAAATTTATATATATATATAAAATATTTGATGAAAGTGTTATTGTGGTTGTTTTTTAAAGTACTTTTTACTTGAAAATACATTAAAATAATATTTTTTTATTTTTTATTTTTTAAAATTATTTTTGTTATGCCAGCACATCAAAATGATATGAAAATACAAAAAATATATCAATTTAAAAAAAATAATTTTTTTTATTTTTTCAAAAACGTTTTTGAAAGATAAAAACAAACAGAATTTTATGAAACTCAATTAAAAAAATATATAAAAATTACTTCATAAAATTACATTTCAAACTTAATTTTTTAATAATTCCTGCATTACAAAACATAATTTGATTTATTACTAAATATTTTACTATATTTGTTTCATCACAAACATAAAAGGTGGTGAAAATAAAACGCAGCCTCTATATCAAGTTTTCTAGCAGCAAGGGGTGAGGTGCAAATGTGCGTTTGAACAAGTCATGCATGCCTTAAGAATTTGGGATCACAAGCACTAGCAATGAAATGCAGATTTTGGGCCAAGCCCAAAATAGCATGATTTTAGCCCAATTAGAATTTCAATAATTTTTATAGATTTCACATTACATCATTCTATACCCCAGAGAAAGGCCCAATCAAAATTCATTGCCCCCTTAGAAAAATTCAGAATAGTTTTAATTACAATGCTTCTTCTTCTTCTTTTCTTTTTCTTTTTTTTAAGTTCTTGTGTTCTCCACTATTTGAAGTGACAAGCTGCTGAAAGTTCTAAATCTGCATTGCTGCAAAAATTCCTCCTTAAATTAGAACCTAATTTTAACTAGTTAATTGTAATGTTTTAGTACATCTAGGGGTTTTTTTAAAAAAAAACATGTGAATTAGATAATGGTTCACAAATTCCGTTACTTGAGGATTATTTTACACCTAATAAAAAATATATTTATAAAAAATTATTTTATATTATTATTAAATATCATCAGGTATCAACTTTAAAAATTTTTAATTGGATTGATTATCTAACTTGAATTTAAAATTAAATTATATAAAAATTATTTTAATATAACGTAATTAACTTGATTGATCTAATAATAATATTACCAATTAATAAAAATTATAAGGATAAAATTAAAAAAATAAGAAAATTAATAAGAAAAAAAACTCTGAACGTTATTATTTACCAAGTTTTTTTTATGCCCCTGAAGTTTTTTTTTTTCCCCTGCTGTTGGGTAATCCTCCTTGAAATTAATGCATTCATGCCAAACGTACTCGAACCTTGAATTATATCATATCTTGCATGTGTCGGTCCTATCTGTGGCCATATTGTTCAACAATAGCGACATCAAATTATTTTGTGAAGTCTAGCACAACCCAGAAAAGACTTTCAACACTGCACACACACACACACTTTTCAAACTTTAATGGAGTCTCTTTCGGGCTCCTACGCAACACAAGATTTTGGAATTTTTTCTTTCTTACTTCTGCACTCTACTGGTGTGCAAGTTACCTTGTAGCCAGCACTGGTTTTTATGGCTACCTGATGCGTATAGCTAGGTAGAGCAGAAGAACAAGGATTTAGCATGCCATACGAGTCAATCTCAGGGATGCTTCAAGAATATCCTACCCAGGCCTTGCCTAATACCACCGGCATTAGTTTTATCGATAAACCTAAAACGTAGGTTCATGCAAAGTTTCTGCACGAAGTCTAAACCACCATAGCTATATAACCCTTTGTTTTCTTGCATTAGATATATCCCATCAACCATCGAAGGAACGAGAGGGTGTAAGATATGACAGTCGGTTGGAGGTTGGCCACTGAATTACGTGCGGCATACTTCGTATTTTTGTCGTGTTTTTTCGTTTTTTTTATAAGAGATTTGGAAAATGACATGACGTGTTAATGGCTATGATTTAAAATGTTTTTTATTTAAAAATAAATTAAAATAATATAATTTTTATTTTTAAAATTATTTTTCACATCAATATGTAAAAACATAAAAAATGATTTTAAATAAAAATAAAAATAATAATTTTTTAAAAAAAAACACAATTTTAGTAGCGTTTTCAAACACTGTCACGTCATTAATGCCAAAGCTTGAATCCAGGATGACCTTTACTCTTCTTTTCTTTTCTATTTTTGTGAGGTTTTTGCACATGAACTTGAACTGCACAGGTTAACCATGGAAATCAATCAATTACAAGCGGAGAATTAAATAGTGACCATGAATCTACTTTTGCATCCTAAATTATCCTTATATTAATTCATTTCTCCAATTTTTTACATTAAATGTCATTCTTGAAGATGTTTTAAACTTTTATACTAATTAACTAGTGTGGAGTTTTATATATGATGGATTATATGCATGTTTTTTCTTTCAATTTCCTGATGATAAATATCATTTCATCAAAATATAAACAATTCTCGACATTATATATATATATATATATAACTCATTTATCTTCTCTCTTTATCTCAAAGAAGAAGAAGAAAACCCTAAAAAATCCAGCCTTCATAAAGTAGTTGATGGTTACGGCTAACGCCTTTCACCAGCTTTTTTAATTTTTTTTTTTAATTTATAGCATTTTTTAATCTCTTGTCACGAGGATCTTTTTGCACGGTCTACTTATCTGCACATGAACAATGTAACTAACTCTTACATGGTCAATTCAGATTAAGGATGTTTAAAGTTTTTTTTTTTTTAATCGTTTACATCATTCAAAGGATCGTATATTACCAGAAAAACTATATGTTAAGATTATTAAATACTTTTTGAAATAAAAGTTATGATATGACTATCATAGTTTTATTTTATCTAAACATAGTGCAAGAACTCAAACAAGTGATTATTTGTTTATATTTTTAAATATGAATAATGAAATTGTTATTCTTCTTCGTATAGAAAAGTGGATTTTATATATTTATCACATAAATTATTAAGCAAGTGGTAAGAAAAGGAGCATCCAATATTTAGCATTTTTTATGAAGGATTTCGACTTAGCCTTCACCACTCCCATTGTTGAAACATTAGAGTTTTATAGCATTCAATCACAATATTTAATT